ACCCCCAAGCTACCTGTTCCTTTTATGAAGCTATTAGCAAATTTAAGATTATTTTCTTGCTGGGGTATTCTATAATGGTTTCTGTAATGATTACTAAATATTTGTATCTGATACTAAATGCCTATATAACAAATCTAAAGGATTTGACTATCAAAGTAGTCAGATTTCAGAGTGAATATCATTTCAGCTTCATATTCCTTTGCAAAGGGGATCTACTGAGAAAATTAATATTGCTACCTTAGTTTTTTAAAGAACAGGCAATTTTAATGTTTCAGGACAAACTCGGTGAAAGCTACAGATACAGTTGTTAGTTGTACATATAGGTAAAATATGTAACAATCCTTTCTTCCCTACGTGATAACACTGTCATGCACATTATTTCTCTGGATAATTATTTTTCTGCATTTCAAACATTTTTACATACCCGGTCCCTAATGTTACAGGTCCAAGGCACTTCTCAAGTCTACATCTGCCATTTTTAATCCACCCCAAGATCATGAGCTAAAGGTTATGGGAATAACTCTTCATCATGGCTGTCACAGGTACAGCACAACTCACCCGAAGAGCCACATATTGAAACTTATATTTTTGAGTGGCTGTATTTAATATGTTCTTATGCCAGTCTTTTGTGTGAAATCTTCAGTATTACATGCATATATCCCTGTGCTCGCTTTACCTTTCCAAATTCCCAAAGAATTGACTTGCACTTCATAAATAATCAACTGTCACTAAATAAAGTGTTTAATATTCAGTTTACCAAAGTAGTAACAGATACAAGTATTAAGTCACAAACAGCCTAATAGAAAACCTCATTACCTTTCTAACTACTGTGCTGATGATACACAGCAGCAGTTCACCTACTAGAGATTGTTGGGCTTTTAGCAGTGCAGTATTTCTGATGATAAACAATTCAGCAGCTCAAAAATGCCACATTGGCTTGTATTTACTGCTACACTCTCAGCAGTTACATGTTCTCATCTTATGAGCCTCTATTTTAGAAAGGTGTGTGTGTGAGTGTGTGTGTGTGTGTGTGTGTGTGTGTGTGTGTGTAAGAGATGCAACCAAAAGAAAAGTTAAGCTCCATGACTAAAGAGACCATAATAGATCCTGGAATATATTTTGACATTATAAACATGAGTCTTCTATACAGCATACAGACAGCACAAATGTTCTTACTGCCTTTTATTTCCATCTTTGCTTTTCCCCTTGCTTTCTTTGGATAACATTACTTGCAGGCTTTAGTTAAAAGCACATACAAAAAAAAAAATAGAAAAGAAAAACTATATATTAAAATGTATTTTAGGGTCTTCTATTACAAAAATCAACCCTTTATAAGCAAACGCATTTTCAAGAATTATCTTGTGGTTCCCCAACAGCCTAAGCTGCCTTTTAATACACAGATTTTTAAAAAATATGCTACTAACATATACTACTAATTTAATCTTGAAAATTCTTTCAATGTTCCGGCATCTACAGTTCATGAAGAAGTTGAAAAATGTTAAATATTTCTAAAGTTTATCAAGGTTTCCTAAGGTTTTATCAAGGTCTATCCTTTGACTGTCAATTCAAAATTTCCTTTGGTACAAATTTCTCATTTGAATAGTCTCCTTTGATAACAACATTTTTATAGAGACACAAACAAAAAATTCATGAAGTGTCCATCAAGTAGGGGGTGCTATTCACCTGCTCGCTACTTGGCATTTTGAGTGTCGTTTCATTCAAATACTGCTGCAGACAAGTGTCATACAGTTTCCGCTGCCCACTGTCAAATGCTGTTATAATGACAGTCCAACAGCTAAACAACTGTTTAAATTTAAAATTTTCCAATTTTATTTGCTATTGTTTGTTGATTTCTTTGTTTCTGTTTCAATTATAGTTAACTCACTGAGGTGAACTACTTTGTGGCTAAGTTAAAAAGTAACAATTGTAGGTGCAATTTATACAACACGTGAGACAAACCTTCGTATTTCATTAATTAAATGTTTCTTCAGGCCTCTTATAAAAAAAGATAAATATCTCTTACAGATCTCACCAGATGCAAAAAGAAGAGAACACAATGAATGTGTACTTCAAAGGTATGCAAGTGACTTACTAATCTAAAGCCTCAGCAAAAATATACTGGTACATTTAACAGTTTCACACTATAGACTATATATTCATTCACACCTCTTCATATAAATGGGTTAGTCATACCTCATAAGTTACAATAAAGATTTGTACTTGAAAAAGAAAATTTTTTCATTTGTGAAAGGTTAGTTGAGAAGAAACATAAAACTTGCCTCCCCTAGAAAAAAGGGCTTCACAGATCTCATGGTCCTGTGAACCTCTTCATCTTTCAGTTCTCCTTAAAATATCAGTAAGTGCTTATCTGAGATAAGACAGATAAGACAGGTGGTTGTGAATCATTGCTGCCAGTCTTGAGAGGAAGTTACTACAGAGAATGGGTCAACCCTTGCCTAGATCAAAGGCTCTAGGGCATCAGAAATAGTACAATTCTTATTTTAAAAAGGATGTTGTAACACATTAGCTCTGTAGGCTCAGCAGGCAAGTTAAGTAGCAAGTTTAAAAAAATTGAGAAGGAGG